ACATGGAACCATTATTAGCTGAATTAAGAATAAGTAAATGAGCAGTTAAAAAAAATACAGAAAAATTACAGGTGCCTGTGGTGAGTAAGATAATAACTAGGTAAAAATATATGAAATAATTACAGTGTTTGAACGGCAGAACCGGCATGAGGAAAATGACTCAATGGAATATTAAGCCTGCTGTTGCAGGGTAGAAAGACTGTAGCCTGCACCGTGGCCTTCACTCTGTTCTCAGCCCTGATACAGTGCTGTACACAGATCCTATCTGGCCTCAGCTGAAGGAACTGGTCCAGTTCAATGAAGACCATCACTCTGAATGCTTGGACTGTAGGTGACAAACCAGTGATCAAAGGGTCTATGAAAGATGTGCCAGATGCTTTGGTATTTGTGTAGACTTACTTTCCATTTGACACTGAATTCTTTCTGAGAATATTTAGGATGAATCTATGATCTGTATTTGACAACTTGACAAAATACAACAATTTCAGGCAATTTCAATAGACGTCTAAAAGAGATATGATTTTTTTTTTTTTTGGTGGTGCTGGGGATCAAAACCAGGGCCTTGTGCATGCAAGGCAAGCACTCTACTAACTGAGCTATATCCCCAGCCCTGCTAGGATATTTTTGAAGATTTTCTTTTGATCTTCTATATGTTCTAAAAGCCCAGTGAGATTGTCATGGGGTAAATAGAAGCTCCAGAACCTCGTTGTAACCATTTCAGACAGAATCAATTACATACAAAGTCTTCTCCATGTCCCCTAAGAAACTGACCCAACAGATAGTTCAGGAAGAAAACATAAGTGACCTGTGGAGGGGCAGAAGCCTAGAGCATGTGCTGGGATCCAGCTCTAAAAACAGCTTCACCCTATGTCAGTTTAGTAAATAAACATCTGTGAGGAGAAAGGCAAGACTTTGTGCGACAAATCAGTTTGGCCTTTTATTTCCCCAAAGGCAAAATATTTAACTTTCAGGAGAAAATAGAGAAGGCCCCTCCTGGTCTTTCTGACTTTGGTCAGTCCTACCTCCCAGGAGATTGTAGGAAGACAGGTGACTCAGCCCTGGCTTAGATACTCCACACACTGAGTCAAAGCTACAGAATTTGAACTTCAGAGAGGGAAAGGGAGGAGTGAAGAAGGAAGGAAAGGAGGGACAGATGAAGGGAGGAAAAGTCTTGGAATTTTTGCACCCCCAGTGTAATTTATTCTTAGTAATTTTGTGAACCCAACCACTAATCTCTAGGCACTATTGCCACTGTGTGGAATTTGTAAAGACCTACTGTTTGCTCACTGGCAACTTTGGGCAGATCTCCTCTCTCTGAACCTCAGTTTCCTCATCTGTAAATATTTCCTCTTTAGGTTTATAGAGAGCCTCATATGATAATTTGAGCATCTTGAAGGTATTTTGTGAACCGTAAAACTCTACACACATTAGAAGCATTATCATATTAATCCGTCCAACTCTGCATTCTGTCTTTTGTTGTGGACAACCAATTTCTACATCAGAAGACAAGAAAAATCTTTGTTCTGACCCACAGAGATGATTGCAGATGTAATTATCCTGTCCTGTGACCCTAGAGCTTAGTCATGAGTGTGCTACTGAAGTATTTGCATTGCTTCCTTAAGTTCAAGTCAAGAAAAACTAGAAAAAATAATCTGGATTATAAGAATTATATTTACTTGAAGCCAACTTGATGTTTCAAACCATTTCAGTCTCATACAACTAGGAAACATTTCCTCCCTCCCTCCCTCCCTCCCTCTGTCTCTTCCTCTCTCTCTCTCACACACACACACTCTCTCTCTGACACACACATTTAACACATCATCAGTGTAATATGTCAGGTATGTCAGAGCTGTGCCCATCAGATCTCTAGCACCCAGCACCATGCCTTACTCAAAGCACTCTCTTAATTATTAGTTGGTAAATCAATTTGAATGATTTCTTTGCCCAATTACCTTTAAAACATTTGAGCATATTTTCTTTGAGAAGTGTATTAATTTATTTGAAAATTCATTTACCTTTTAAAAACCACATCCACATGTTAATTGTCCTGTCTTGATGTTACTCTGCTAACTTTAGGCTAAGGCTCCTACTCTAAATATCAGCTTAGTGAAAGCTTCTATTCCTTCTATATGATATTGCCATCTTTGAGTGATTCAGAATGTACTCATGCCTCAGGGCAGTGAAATATTTTTAAGATTCTAGTTTGTAGAATAACTTAAGGCACAGTGAGACTTTCTTTTAAAATTGATGTGATGATCAAAAGTTATATTTGTGGGCTGGGGTTGTGGCTCAGTGGTAGAGAACTTGCCTAGCATGCGTGAGTCATTGGGTTCAATCCTCAGCACCACATAAAAATAAAATAAAGTTATTGTGTCCATATACAACTAAAAAAAAGATTTTAAAAAAGTTATATTTGTACATTTTCCACAGTACAAGGTGATCAGAAAGATGTCTTTCATAGACATTTATTGTTTAGATCTAGAAAAGAGGATAGAGAGAAGAAATCCAGCCTGAGTGATCAGGGTAAAGAGTATGGATGTGACCCAAAGTGGCATCAGGATACTCTAGAAAACTGACTTTGGGAGTGAACTTGGCCTAGTACAGTCTTTGAAACATTCGATTCAGAGTTCAGAATCTTCACTGCCTCATACTTAGTGAGTTTGGCCCCTGCCCCCATCTTAACCATTCCTACTTTCTCCTATGGACTTTCATGGTATGGAAATGTCAAAGTCAGTACCTGCCAAGGCTTGATACAATCCAGGTTTCCACATGTCTTAGCTCATTCTCTTTTATTACACTAAGATGTCAGAGACACGGTATTTTATCAAGAAGTTGATATAGCTTACAGTTTTGGAGGCTGGAAATCCACATCTGTGTGGCTTCTGATGAGGGTTTTATGCTGCTCCATGTACATAGAAGCAGAGGGCAAGCAAGCATGCAAAGAGGGATGAACAAAGGAGCCGACCCATTTTATAACAACCCCCTCTAGCAAGAACTAATCCGTTCCCAAGAGAACTAATCCAGTCTCTCAAGAAAGACATTAATCCCTCTCAAAGGCCCCATCTCCTGGCAGTTCCGCATTGAGCAATTTAACCTCAATGGAGTTTTGGTGAGGAAAAAACCATATGCTAACCAAGCACCCCAAAACACAGTTACCACAAAATTGAACAAAAGAGAGCATACTTTCACTTTGTTAGCAGTACTTGATTCTCTTTAGATCCACATTGCTTTAATGTTGTTGAATGTGATAGCTGAGAAAGAAGTTAAAAATTATTTCTTTTCGCCTCCTCATTCCACAGGTGAGTACATGCAGGTCTACAGCTGCTAAGTGACTCACTCAAAACTCATTTAGATAGATGATGACATCAAAGGAACTTAAAGCCTGATCCTCCGACTCTTGGGTGAACCAGTACCTAGATTTCAGTCAGTCAGGTATTACGGAGCTGGCATCCACTATGTCCCTGACAGTGCTGCTTCCTGCCACAGAAAATGACCATGAAGTGGGCCCAGCATTGCAGCTCTTTGGAAAGAAAATCCAACTTATGAATGCATACCAAAGGGTTAATCAGAAAAGAAATAATTTTCACATAAAGTGATCTTTCTTTTTTTTTATTGTAAGCTCAGAGAGAATTGTAGCACTACAGGTTGAGCAATTTTCTTTTTTATGAATCTCGTGCTCAATTTATGAAAGCCATTTTGCAACCCATTTACATGCAGTAAACCTTTGCTTTAAGGTTCTGTCATTTACCTTGATCATGATTATTTATAGTCTTTTTAGAAAAGGCCCTTTACTCGTTTTGCTCACAAGCACAGCGCTGCCACAAGGCAGTTTTCGATGGTGCCTTTTAAGTCATGGTAGTGAGCTAAGACATGGCCAGTCTTGCAGTGAGCTATGAGGCTCAGGACTGGTATGTGATGGGAACAGAACTAGCTGGAATCAGGAGTATTGCACTTTCTCTATATAATCTCAGCATTTTATGCTCCTTTTGTGTCTGTTTGCTCACTTGTGGAAAGCAAATGACTCCATAATCTCTAGATTGGGAAATAGAGGTTAACTGATGTACCTTGTGTGAAACTTGCAGAGCAAGTTAAAAATACTAAGTTTTGTTTTTGTTTTTTTATGAACCAGTTGTCTATAATACAAACTATTATGATCACTAAAAAAGATAGTGTGTCCTATCTAAAATATTTCTTGATGGCCTACTATAATTCATACAAGAATTTGAACCAAGAGCAGGGCCCTTTACTCCGGCCACAGAGTGGGCACTCAACCCAGTATTTCTTCTGTTAATGGATAAATACAATTTCTAGATGAAATGTTCACTGTGCTAGGCACAGTATAGAATACCAGACAAATAATATATCATCCAAGTTAGAAGGGATTTATAATTAAGATGGCTAGCCGTAAATGCCCAAATTGACAATGAAGCAGGTTGTGATTCTAGACAAGAGGAGAAGGTCTGGTGTAGTGTCTGTAGTCCTCACCAGAGGCCACTTCAGCATCTTCCTAATGCAGGTAAGCTGACCAGCCTCCAGCCTTGCTTGCCCACCATGATATCTCTAGACTCCCAGCAGGTTAGACACCCACGTGGAAGAGTTTAAGTGCAGTGTCATAAGGATATTAAAGCAATGTGGGCAGGATTATAGAAACCATCAAGAGATGGCCAGGTACCCTGAGACAATCAACAGCAGGTGACATTACCACCCAGGAGGTGAAGGGCAAGGCAGAGGACGGGAGGGAATAAGAGCTATAGCTAGACACAACTAGAGTACAGAGGACACATAAGTCCATGTGAAGCCCCATTCCTTGGGCCATTATCAAAGTGTGCAGGAGTGAACCAGGGTCCATGTGCATGTGGTGCAGGCACTTCATGTGGGCTGTCTCTTGAGGGCCTACAGGAGGAATTCAGTCTAAAGTTGGCATCTGTCACTCCGCCGTTGCAAGCAGCCCAGTGGAATGAGGGTGAAATGGCTAAATGTCTTCCTTGACCCCTGGGCACTTACCATGCACAGCCTTCTCAAGGTACAGAACAGGAGAGAATGGATTATGCCCTCAACAATAAGAGACGAGTCATCCGCCTGGTTCTACAGTGGGCTGCCATGTATGGAGACCTCCTGCAAGAGGATGATGTGGCCATGGCTTTCCTGGAGGTATGCAGGCTTATTCCTTTCAAGGCTTATTCCTGTATACAGGAACTTACCTGTGGCAAGACATCCTCCCCCCTCCCCCCCCCGGGGGACTGTAATTGCCAGTTCTAAACTTTGTTAACATGTCCATTTGTCAGAAAGGTACTATAAGTAAAAGAAAAGCATCCACATTATCCCACCACTCTAATTCAATAAGTAGTGACTTTTTAATGTAGTTTCATCTGGTCTCTTTCTCTTTGTGTATTTCGTAGGGTTGTAATCACATCAGTACCCATCATTTTGCAGGCTGCTTTTTATTCTACACATCAGGATTTTTTCATGTCAACACATTCTTTATGATTAAAAACTTCTAATGACCATTCATCAGTTATGCCACAGATATATTTATTTGTACCCCGTGTTGTTGAATATTTACGGCCTTTCCAGTTTTCATCTTCCTAGAATAATTGTGCAGTGAACGTGGTTTTGCTCGTTGGTCTGTCCGTGGTTGCTTATGTTCCTAGAAGTAGGATTACTAGATCCAATGGTAGATGTTTTTGAGTGAAGTAGACATTTTTACTAAGGAATTACTAGCACAGGAAGTGGGAGGCAATACAGTATTTCTGATGGTGTGTGTTTACTTTGTGAACACTGCTCAGGCTCAGCTGCCCTTTTCCTTTCTTTGGTTCTTTCCCCACAGTACAGCACTGGCCTAGGCATTGAGTCCTGGACTACTGTAGTCCTCCCACCCATGGAGGACGTGACCCAAGACCCCCAGTGGAGACCTGAAATCAGATAGTACTGAACCCTATTTCTTTTTGTTGTTGTTGTTCTAATTAATTAGTTATACGTGACAGTAGAAACCCTATTTTTACTATTTTATTTCCTATACACATATACATATGAGAAAGTTTTCATAGATTGTGCACAGTTAAAGATGAACAGTAATAGATAATTATAATTATAATAAAAATTATTTTAAATTTATGAATTGTTTATTTCTGGAATTTTCCATTTACATTTCCAGACTGCAATTGACAACAGGTAATGGAGACCACAGAAAGCAAGACCCTGAATGGGATCAGGGGGATAACTGTACTTTCTCCTCCAAAACTTAGTGAGGCTCTTACTTCTATGTAGGTGCAAGACAGTGTGGCTTCTTTCATAACTTTATGGCCTGTGTGTTCTAAAATGAATTCTCCAAGAAAATGCTCCCTCTCTCAAATTCTGTCATTTCGGGTGATGAAGGGGAAGGTGTACGATGGGAGTCCCCAAGGCTGTAGATTAAAGTATTTTGTAAATAATGGAGTGGCCCATCCCCGCGGAGTACAGGGCCTTCATGTAGGTGAACCCTGCACTGTGTGGTTCTCATGGTCTGCTGTAGAGACCACCACTTCTAAGCAGGACAGGGCACAACTGGGGCTGCTAGGTGATCGGTTCAGCTCCCAAGAAGTCAGCAGAGTCGCAAGTTGGTGGCACAAACTCAGCATAAACTCAGTATAGTGCTGAGGCCATGCCTGAGTTTACCACTGACAATTAATCACATGGGTGGTAAATGTTAAATAAATAACAAATACTAAGATAACATTGAAAATAAATAATAAAATTTCCCTGAAAAAAATCTGAGGGGAAAAAGTGTAGAGCATAAAATTGCCTAACACATGACAGTGTATTATATCAGCATTATATAATAATTCATTTGCATTTTTTTAATTTTAATTTTTATTTTATTTGGGTAAAATATAATTTAATTTTTAAGTTAAATTATAATTCAATTAAATTATAAATTAAATTATAATTCAATTAAATTATAAATTAAATTCAATTATAATTCAATAAATTATAAATTAAATTAAAGTATAATTTAATTTAAAATATATAATTTAATTTTTATTTTTATTGTGGTAAAATATACTATGAAATTTGCCATTCTAGTCATTTTGAGGTATACATATTTTGAGGTATATATATATTGAGTTCAGTGACATTCATTTCATTCCATTGTTGTGCAGTCATCACTGCTATTTTTAAAACTTTTTATCATTTGCAATTTTGAACTTGGACTTATTGTAGTATTTTTTTTTTCTCCCTTTTTCTCTCCAGTCCATGAAACCACCATGGTCTGGTAATGCTAGTGAGGCAGAACATATAGGGACATGTCTTAATTGCTCTCTACAGAAGCGTGCCCCTTTTGCAGTTCTTGTTAAAAGCTTGTGACCTTTGCCAATTACAGGAGTTTTATGTGTCTGTATCAGATGATGCCCGCATGATTGCTGCCCTCAAGGAGCAACTCCCGGAGTTGGAGAAGATTGTCAAGCAAATGTAAGGAAGGGCTTGGCTTTGGGGGTGTGCTTTCAGCAAGTAAGTGCCTGCCTTGCAATCAGAATACCTTCTGAAAAGTCCTTTACCTGAAGAAAGGTTAAAGATGGTCTTGTAATAGCCACAGTGTTCTGATTTGAGCAGAGGAGCCCAGGGACAAGTGGCAATAAGGCCAGATGAACACAAAGACTGAAACTACTGTCAGTTGCCTTCTATGCCAGAGCACTGCCATGAAGAAACCTGAGAGGGAAGAGATCCTCATATGGATAGTCCAGGTCAATAAATGTGGGTCCCTGCAATAAAATGGTCAGTTGCATTTTAAGAAAATTTGAGAACAATTATTAGATGGAAAATTCACTTTCTGCTGCCAGAGCTATTGATGGCAAATATTTGTGTACAGAAGGTTTTCAGATGCTGTTACTTCAATTAAATATTGGAGAATGCTCTCCGAGATAGACTTTGAAAGCTAGAAATCCTGGTGTTTAAAATCAGTTGTGCCTAGGATCTGCCTATGATGAGAATTAGTATCTTTGACAGCAAAGATAGTGTTAAAATGCCTCCCAAAGGGATTCTGTGATATTATTTTATAAATATATAAAAGGTTATATAAAAGCAAAGCTATCTGGAGCTGGGGTTGTGGCTCAGTGGTAGAGTGCTTGCCTAGCACATGTGAGGCACTGGGTTCGATCCTCAGCACCACATATGAATAAGTAAAATAAATGTATTGTGACCATCTACAACCAAAAGTATTTTTTTAAAGTAAAGCAATCTAAAATAATAGTAATGTATTAAATAATGTGCTTTTTCTACTTCTCGTAGTTCAGAAGATGCAAAGGCTCCACAAAAGAAGGTAAGATGCATCAGTTCAGATTCTCTCATTTTCTATTCCCTGTAGAATAACAAACCCCCGTTATATGACAGTGTATAAAGTAATATATTTTTTATAAATAAAAACTATATTTGCTTCATTCCTTAACTCCTATTGTTTCTCAGATGCCTTTCTTCTGAGTTGCTAGTGTGGGCTGGTCAGTCCCCCTGATGGCACTCCCTGTGGTTATTGTTTTTATAGCACAAGGTTCTTTTGCAACAATTCAACACAAGCGATGAGAGGGCCCAGAAGCGCCAGCCTGTCCGTGGCTCTGATGAGGGTGAGAATTCTCTTCCAACTCCTGCTTGTGTAGGCTATTTATTATGCCCCTGGAATCATCTCCTTGAACCCACAGAAAAGCTCTTCTTGAAGGTGCCCTTGTGCAGGCCAATTATTTATGTTCTTGAAGTCCTGTGCCCAGTGCTAAGGTGCTTGTCTATACTTCCCTGACGCTGAGTGTCCCCAGCTGCCACCTTCATGTGAAAGAAATGGAGATTATCTTGGGCTGAGATGTCATGCAGCCTCTGGGACTAGCAGGTGGGAAGGCACCTGGCCTATTGCAGATGCCTGGGAGAAGGTGGAACACCAGGGCTATCAGCAGAGGAGGGCTCCTTCCCAGGGAGAGCACTCAGGCCTGGAACCCAGCCTCCTTAGCAGGAGGTGAGGGTGCTAACTTTGTTGTTTGGTTGCCAAGATTTCTCCAAAGAATCACAACCATAAATAATTATAATAATAAAATTTTCAAGTCACCAATGAATCTTATAATCTATGAGTGCCTCAAAAGGGTGATAGGAGCTGGAGTTGCTTCCAGGATTTTTGTGTTCAAAGGTGAGCCCGTGAGTGCCATATGCCTTCTACTGTGCTAACTACCAACTGAGCTGTGTGGCCTGGCCCCCAAAGAGCAACCTGCTGAAGCAAAAAGGCAGAATATCAACATATGCTAATGGCCTCAGGCAGAAGCAGTACAGCTCAAGAGATATTCATGTTGGCTCCCCAAGCCATGCTGGGTAGCAGTAATCTAATAATCAGCCCACAGTATAGCACTTCCTCTGTCATGTAAAAGAAAGGCTGGGGAGAAGGGCAAACCCAGAACACTGGCCTAAACATACCTCTCATTTTTTCCATGATCTATTTGTGGGTATTTTATAAATATCTGCCGCTTTTTAAATTGGAGATGGCAGCCACATGTGCCCCTATTCTTAGACCAGTGCTAAGGTAAGCCGATTCAGACCGGGGAAGGCACAAGCATAGATGTGTACAAATAAACACCACAGCAAAACACCAGATGATGCAAATTTGGGAGGACATCTTAACATTTTGCCAAGTACCAGGGTTTTCTTAAGAACACCCAAGACCTTACCTAACACAGGCAAGGCCCTGGATTCAGTCCCTAGTATTGCAAAAAATAAAAAAGAACTCCAGAGACAATTTAGCACATTGTTGACTATCCTTGCAGTGTTGTTTAAGGTCTATTGCATGGACCACACCTATACCACCATTCGGGTGCCTGTGGCTGCCTCAGTGAAGGAAGTCATCAGCGCAGTTGCCGACAAACTGGGCTCCGGAGAAGGCCTGATCATAGTCAAGATGAGTTCCGGAGGAGGTAACAGCCTTCATTAGCATTTGGTGCTTTTGCAAAATGGGGACACCTAAATAGAAACCATGCATGGCCATCCCAGGGTGACCCAGAAAGGTGACTTGGGGCTGTGTCTACTCCCATGAATAACAGAAAGAGTGTAGGTGAAGATGGGCTGGGTGAGTGCCTAGATCCCCTTTCTTATAGGTAGCCATTGTAAAGCGGAAAGAGGGAAAGTGATTTATCTGAGGCAGTTGTAAGTACATGGAAGTCAGCCTGGAGTTCTTTCATTATAAACCCTTAAAAAAAAAAGAAGGAAAAAAAAAAAAAGCTGCAGATCTCAGAGCCCTGTGAATCATGGGCCCTAATAGGGAATCTAGCCCAATCAACTGAAGGCTCTAGACTTCTCCAAGCCTAAGGTTAGTGGTGGTCTAAGACTTGTTCCTTTGTGCTGATGATGGATGGTTCCTCGTTAGCCGCCCCCCAGGTTACAATTTCTCTCATTGTCCCTGATCACTCTATGCTTTCCTGAAATGCCATGTGTTCATCTGTCCTATGTATACTTAGCATGGCTAAGATAGGACAGAATGAGCCAGACATAGCCTGTGTCACTGAATTGCTCCTCCATCAGGGAGGAGATAGACAGTAAATAAACAGGGATGCTCCATGCTGGCAGGAGTCTTAGGGATAGGCAGGCATGTGCAGCAAGAGGCCAAAGAGAGGAAAGGGGAGGTTAATTTCCTTAGTAATGATTTGTAACCATTGCGGGAAGGTGGTTCTTCAGAAATAGGTGGAGCCATTTCTACCTTGTATCAAGGCAAATGAGTCCACTGATGCAGGATTTTAAAATGCATGTTGGATTCCCAAGATAGCCCCTTCCATTCCTGCCCGAGCCACTCAGGTCCCGGATGTCTGCCCTTGCCAATGCCATTGTCACATTCTTCCTGTAGCTATCTTGGGCTCTTCCTTATTTCCTTTAGGTCTTCACCAAATGTCTCACTGAGACTTCTCTCCTTCCTTTACTTGCCTGTCTGAACTGTTCACTCCCCAACAGTATTTCCTAGCTCTTCCAAGCTATAGTTTGTTCCCTTGTCACTTCTCATCTGTCATGTTCCTTGTCTGCATCCCCTTCTATGCTATAAGATCTTCCTGGACTGGACTGTTTTTTTTTTCCATATTGTTCCCTTCTGTATCCCCAGAGCCCGAAGCAGTGTCTGACACATTATAAATGCTAAATAAATATTTATTTATTAAGAGAACTGATTTTTTAAAAAAATGTAGCAAGTGGTTGCATGTTGTTAATGCTATTGCCCTACAAATTAGGGAATATGTGAAAAAATAATAATAATACATTTTGCAACTAAAATCATGTGATATTTCTGAAACCCTCTAAGTTTTCTAAAAGTTATCTTCCCATCTCCTAAGTGCTGGGCCTTATTACCATCTAGAAACATAACTTGTTATATAAATGGCTGGTGCAGTTTTTATATATAATCACAGCTGCAGCACAGAACTGGGTGAATTGACCCTCAGGTGGTCAACTCCTGTTGTGTGGTCATTTCTGATGGCATCCTGAGTGTCGCATAGCTGTGTGAAAGCCGTGTCGTTTTTATTCAGTGGGTCCTTTCAGTCTTGCATTTTATGCAGTCGCTCTGCGTGTTCCGGTAATTCACAGAGCTGGCAATTTGTTGGTGTGATTAGGGCAGTGCGGCAATTCTCAGATGTATTTAATAGGCAATCTCATGCTTTTTATGTTCACAGAAAAGGTGGTGCTCAAACCTAATGATGTTTCGGTATTTACGACGCTCACCATTAATGGACGCCTGTTTGCTTGCCCGTGAGAGCAATTCGATTCCCTGGTAGGTGTGGATGGCCTCCTTGGAGCCACATCTGCAATCAGAACAGCCTGTCTGGAGCTTCCTTTTACGGTCACATTGAACCTGGGTGCTAAAATATCTTGAAGGCTTCTTGGTTTGTTCTCTACTGAGGCCTGTTGGGAAAGCCTCAGGTCTCCGTTTGCGATGCACTGAGCTTTAGATTTTTGTTTGTGGAAATTAGCTGAGCAGCACCATTCTGGGGGCAGAATGCAGCTTTCTGTATTCCTCATTGTCATTCACTTCATTTAAATGTCCTCGATGTGAATATTAATGTTAATACTTAGACCAGGATGAAAATAATCTTTGTTAAGAGCAAGATGTTGCTACTTGTGAGACTTAGATTGCCACTTAGAGGGATGTAGAAATGCACTGTGGCAAAGCCACCCTCGACCTAAGAGAAATGCTCTTTCCTGGAAGTGTTCTCTCTGCCTTGCAGGGAATGCCAGAGGCCAGAACCCTTCCCTAAGTCTTCAAAACATTTGTTCCCAGCCACACATAACTTTCCATGAGCAAAACTATGTGTTCATTTCTATTTATCCTATAAAAATTAGGCATGGGAATGAGTAGCTGTTAAAATATCTTAGAAAGTCTACAACAACAGTTCAGAGAGTTGAGAAACTAGTTTTCTGGACCTTGAACACAGAGGGCTTTCCCTTCTAAGGGAAGGACTACATGAGAGGTAAATTGTATGGAATTTCAGGGAGATGTTTTAATACCCTAAGAGTACATAAACAGATTTCAAGTTTAACCAAATCAGCTTTCTAGGTAACTCAAGAATCTTGGACTGGTGGTTTGAAAGAGCACTTGCTTAGCATGTGTGAGGCTCTGGGTTAAATTCCCAGCACCAAAAAAAGAAAAAAAAAATCTCCTCTTTTGGAATTTTAGTGCTTACTTTTCCTGATTATGATCCTGATTTCTGATTTGGGGAAAGTCATTTTTACAGTATTATGTATTTCTTTGGAGAAGAACTTCACAAACATGGGATTTATCCATCCTGAACCTTACTGACCACTCCACTTTCCTCAGCCATCAGCACCAGAAGATCAGAATCGGCTCACATGCTTTTTCCTCTGCATTCATTGTTTCTTTTCTTTTCTTTCTTTCTTT